TGTCTGTGACTTACGAGTTCCTGCCTGCTTCCATGGCTAGTTTCGTGGCTGCCGTAGATACCCAGTTCCAGCATACCCTGTGTCTGCTGTATATTCGCACAGATCTGCGCTCTGTCACTCCAGCCACAGATGTACCGATGGTAAAGTGACAGGGAACCTTGACCTCAATTCCCTCAAAGAGATAGAGTGGTGCCAGTAGGCAGCCGGCCAGAAGAGGACCCACAAATAGGCACTACTGCAATCTTATCTCAGGACACTCCAGAGGTTGTCTGCCTGGCCTCTCCATCTCCACCAGGCCTGCAGTCCCCTGCCATAGAACATAGAACATAGAACATAGAACATTACAGCGCAGTACAGGCCCTTCGGCCCTCAATGTTGTGCCGACCTGTGAAACCAATCTGAAGCCCATCTAACCTAAACTATTCCATTATCATCCATATGTTTATCCAATGACCATTTAAATGCCCTTAAAGTGGGCGAGTCTACTATTTTTGCAGGCAGGGCATTCCACGCCCTTACTACTCTCTGAGTAAAGAACCTACCTCTGACATCTGTCCTATATCTATCACCCCTCAATTTAAAGCTATGTCCCCTCGTGCTAGCCATCACCATCCGAGGAAAAAGGCTCCCACTGTCCACCCTATCTAATCCTCTGATCATCTTGTATGTCTCTATCAAGTCACCTCTTAACCTTCTTCTCTCTAACGAAAACAGCCTCAAAACCCTCAGCCTTTCCTCATAAGACCTTCCCTCCATACCAGGCAACATCCTGGTAAATCTCCTCTGCACCCTTTCCAATGCTTCCACATCCTTCCTATAATGCGGTGACCAGAACTGTACGCAATACTCCAAGTGCGGCCGCACCAGAGTTTTGTACAGCTGCAACATGACCTCATGGCTCCGAAACTCAATCCCTCTACCAATAAAACCTAACATACTGTACGCCTTCTTAACAATGCTATCAACCTGGGTGGCAACTTTCAGTGATCTATGCACATGGACACCGAGATCTTTCTGCTCATCCACACTACCAAGAATCTTACCATTAGCCCAGTACTCTGTATTCCTGTTACTCCTTCCAAAGTGAATCACCTCACACTTTTCCGCATTAAACTCCATTTGCCACCTCTCAGCCCAGCTCTGCAGCTTATCTATGTCCCTCTGTAACCTGCAACATCCTTCCGCGCTATCCACAACTCCACCGACTTTGGTGTCATCTGCAAATTTACTAACCCATCCTTCTACGCCCTCATCCAGGTCATTTATAAAAATGACAAACAGCAGTGGCCCCAAAACAGATCCTTGAGGTACACCACTAGTAACTGAACTCCAGGATGAACATTTCCCATCAACCACCACCCTCTGTCTTCTTACAGCTAGCCAATTTCTGATCCAAACCGTTAAATCACCCTCAATCCCATGCCTCCGTATTTTCTACAATAGCCTACCATGGGGAACCTTATCAAACGCTTTACTGAAATCCAAATATACCACATCAACCGCTTTACCCTCATCCACCTGTTTGGTCACCTTCTCAAAGAACTCAATAAGGTTTGTGAGGCACGACCTACCCTTCACAAAACCGTGTTGACGATCCCTAATCAAATTATTCCTTTCTAGATGATTATAAATCCTATCTCTTATAATCCTTTCCAACACTTTACCCACAACCGAAGTAAGGCTCACTGGTCTATAGTTACCAGGGTTGTCTCTACTCCCCTTCTTGAACAAGGGGATGCCATGTCGGGATTCAAGCTGGAGAAGGCTGTACCTACATATCAGCAGGACGTTCTCACATTCAGCATGTCAGGACCCTTGTGCCACAAATGTCCTCAGGCTTGCCTGTCCAAAATCTATAGCCAACAAGCTCCATTACAGATAACACAGTGTGGAGCTGGAGGAACACAGCAGGCCAAGCAGCATCGGAGGAGCTGGAAAGCTGATCCTTCTTCTTCCTCTGATGCTGCTTGGCCTGCTGTGTTCCTACAGCTCCACACTGTGTTATCTCTGACTCCAGCATCAGCAGTTCTTATTATCTCGAAGCTCAATTATAGGTAGCCTCTGAGACTTAGACATAGTGGGAGCAAAATGGAAAAAAGAACTCTGAGGGCACATTGGTGTTGTGGATTAAAGTTAATTGTAAATACATCAACATATACTTTGTAATTATATGTTCACTTTTCATCATTATTTGTGTGAACAGTTTTCGTTTTAGCTGCAGCTATGAGAATGAAGGCAGAGTGGCTAGCTGTCCTTTTCGTAACATGATGTTCTAACCCTGTCTGAACATTAGTTATCCATTTAGCATGAAATTTTTTCATGATTGAATTAGGGAGCATCAGAAGATGCAAAGGCTTCCATCAGTTTGTCATCTTAACATTTATTAATCAACAGAAAATGCATAAAAAGATCAAAGTGATAAGATGCACCTGCAGTTGGGTTTACACAGGGGATACTGGCCTCTGCAGCATCAAAAGATTTACAGTCAGTGAAAGGTGACTTCATGCAACTCCCTTTTATGGAACAAAATTCACAAAGAACTCCTTTGCTTTGGCAGATGCTGCTGTTCGTAGAATGCTGAAAGTCCTCATGTCTTACTTGTTACAATGCTGTGGTTCTCAAGGATCCTCATTATCAGCCTCCGTGCATCCTGCAGATGTCTGGAGCAGAGAATCCAAGGATTAAGCAGCATTCTCTACCTGAACTGCAGAAAACCTCCAGGCATGACCTGCATAAGAACTAATGTGGAGGAGATAAATTATGGCTGGTGTTCACCGCAGTGGAAGAATCTGTTACATTACAGATAGCTAGACATCATGACATCGCATTCTGGTTGCAGCCTAGAAAACAGAGTGTAATGCAACTGGTTGCACTGGACTTGCGGAACTGATCATGGCCCACTACCTAGACTGTAAGCATATGGAAGCCTTGACCCTGATCAGCTGAAGCACTCGAATGAATGTGACAATCCCCTGAATGTATTGGATGATGCCATTGACTGACTCTGCAAGTATCTTCTGACTGAAGATGGTCCCCCTTAATTAAGGACTTCTTATGTTAATCCTTGCCATGTGGCCACTTGGTTGAAGCACATTCAATGAATTTGTCATGTAAGCTGCTGTCACATACCACAGGTGTAACATTGACATAGCACAGTGCCATAGAGCAACATGTGCACGCCCTTGACTGATCACTGGCAAATATGATAAGCTGTGTGGCTTTGTGTCTGGGCTGAAAGGCAAGGCAATACAGAAGCACTGTAAGCCTGTAAGTTATGAATGAGGCAGCAAAGCGCAAAAGGGCAAGGTAAGATAAGACAGATGCTTTGAGCATTCTAGCAGGCGCAAAGTGAGTAAGTGCGAAGAAAACAAATGAAGAGCACTGAATTGCACTCTGCTGCTGTCCGTGAGATGGGTACCTGCCGTTGCTTGTAAAGTAACCTGGCAGCAGCATTATGGTCCAGGTATTGATGCATTCAAAGTGCAGTACAGAAGTGGATAAAGAAATTTTAAGAGGGTGGGAGATGTGCCATGATAACATGATGAAGTTGATCCATGTCCAGTGCTAACTTCTGTGGACAAGGTGCAGGTATCACTACCTGTGAAGCATAGCCTGAGATGTTGGTGATAGTTAGCCAAGGTGAAATTCCAGAAGAGCAAATGGCGAACTGGAGCCACTGTATACCTGCTCAGACTTCCATGTTGGGAATTGTTGCCTTCCGGTTTTTCACCTGTCATGTAGGAAAATAGCAAACTGTATAGGAACAATGTAAGAATAGATAATGATGAGATGTAAATGCTTGCCAGTAAGTCTCTTGCTGATCATCAGCAAGATTCTCACCTTCAAATTTAGATGGAAAATTGGACTTTTTTTTTAATTGTGGACCTCATTCCCCTAGTCTCATCATATTTTCCTGACTGATTCTCTGTTGCCCATGCTATTCAGGGGCTGGGAGAATTCTGCGCCTAGTTTGTGCTTCATGCATGTTTGTATATAATGTTTAGTTTTGGAATTGAAGTATTAACTGGAGAAATTAAAGAGGAATCCTAATTTAAAACTGGTAAACTTCTGATGAAAATGCAAAATAAAAAAAAGTAGGCAGATTGTTTTATTTAAAAGTTCAAACTAAAAGAGAGGGAGCTAGAAAACAACAATAAAGAAGCATAAACGATGCATAACCTAGCTGAAAATGGAAAGACAAAAAAAAACATTGAAACAAAACTGACCTTCCCAGTTTCTAACGAAACGAAAGCTGAACTTGTGTTTTAGAAACACAAAATTTTGGGTAGACTAAAATTGGTTGAAACCATACAAAGAGTTGCATAGCTATATAAGCTCAGTAGTTGCATTTTGGATCTGGTATTGTCTGCAACTCAGTAAGGGCCAAAGTAAAGGATGGTGAGATAGGCCTGTGCTGTAAGTTGAGCTAAAAAACTATCAACTTCATTCACCGTGTGAAATGCTGGCGAGGCTAATGTTAGCTTGAATTTAATGAGGGAACAGAAGTTGGAAGTTTGCCTATTTTAGAGCTCGTGGAAGAATCTACTGCAGCCGGCAGATGTTCTTGGAAGTATTGGAAAAGTGACCAGAGCAAGGTCTGAGGCATTCACAGTCAGAAGATGGTAAATGTAAGTTTTACTTCTGGGAAGGCTTTGAACCAAAGAACTGTAGTATACTAGTGAATGTTCCCTACAGAAGTAAATAAATTTAAGATTGATGTGTGTTATAAGAGATTTCTTAGGGGATGTAAGAAGTCAACCTATTGCATAAAATATCTAATTATAAAACATGTTGTGATGACAGTGGTGTGTGTATAAACAAAACAATAATGTTTGCTTTTGCTTAAAGAGGTAAAATTTTGTGATATAGTTTGATTGAAACATAGTGTTCAGATATTTCTTTAATTGTTAAAGGTCCCTAACTGGATTGTAATACAACCAACTGATGCATAACATGGCTGGTGACTGCTATATACTATTCCACTTTGCTCATGTTTGTAGCTCTCCATCAAATCAGAAGCCAACAGCTCCTGCATTCAGCAGAGGCATGGAGAAGGCCATGGCAGATGTCAGAAGAGTACCCAGGTTTGCGGAAGACAAAAGAGTAAGATAAGTGATTTTTAGCTGGGATTTTTTTCGATTGAAAGTCCCAGGGAGAGGGGTTCAGGAGCCAGGGTGGGGGAATGGCACCTTTTGTGTCATATCTTGCCATTAGTATGAAATATACCTTTTAAGAGACATATTCATGATATCACCATATCATGGCATGTGACCCAATGGCATAACAATCTCAGATTCCAAGTTAACTGAACGTAAGAAATAGGTGCAGCAGTAGGCTATTTGGCTCCTCAAGCCTCCCCTGCCATTCATCAAGATCGTGACTGACCTACCCCAGGTGTCAATCCCTCTTTCATGCCAGCCCAGCATAGCCAGCAACTCTCTGATAGTTCAAAAATTGTCTCTTTAATACTTTCAGTGATTTGGCCTCTACAGTTCTCTGTGGTAGAGAATTCCAGATATTCGTTACACTCTAGGAGAAGAAGCTCCTTCACATCTCAGTTTCAGTGTCCCCTTATTCTGTAACTTTGTTCCCCAGTTCCAGATACCCCTACTAGTGGAAACCTCTTCTCCATATCCACTCTGTTAAATCCCCTCAGAATCTTATATGTTTCAATAAAACTGCACCCATTCTTCTAAACTCTAATGGATAAACTCTAACCTGTTTAGCATTCTTGATAACTCAACCTCTTCATCCCAGGAACCAGCCTAGTGCGTCTCCCTCCGGTGAGAGATCTCTGAAAACGTTGCTTGCCACTGGCAAAGAGTCTGTTGGTGGGAAGACAGGCACAGGTATGATTGTGCAGAGACAGGCTCATTTATTTGGAAATCACCTCTACACCAATTAGTCTTCCCGAATGATCCCAGCAAGAGAAAGGGCTGCACTATTGACATCTTCCTTGAAGGTGCATATTAGCATGAAGACATAGTAGTACCAGACAAGCAACAGTTACGTGCTTTAAAAGCAGCTGATACTATCTACACAGTCAGCAAAAAGCAACAAACCAACAAGGTCTGTAATTGATATGATTTGTTGCAACTTTGTAAACAATGTCCAGTGTTTCTTCGCATCTGTGAAGTGTTTGGCATCAGACGACATTGAGTATGCATGTGCAGGCGAAACCAGACTCCAGCCAAAGCATAGGTGACCAATGATATGGTATAACTCCACTTTTCTGGCAGCAAGGAATGTGTAAAGAACAAACTCAAACATACCTATGAAGAGCACAGTCAACCAGTTGTAAAGCAAAATTTTGAAAGTGACCAAGCATTTTACATTAAACAAAAACGGAAATTGCTGGAGAAACGCAGCAATGTTTTGAGTTCAGTGACCTTCATCAGAACTCTTACGTTACTTTTTATATTATTTGCCTCAAACCACCATGTCGATGGTATAAGACTCAGACAGTCTAACAGAGCATATGGTACATTCAATCAAATCAGTGATTTTTAACTGTGAAGCAACAAAACAAGAATTTCTTGTTGCATTGCTGCATTTTGTGCAACACCAGTGGAAAAGGCATACCATCCAACTTGTGTTCAGAATGCAAGTGTGAATGACCTTTTCCAGCAACCAATTGTCTTAACCGCCCTGAGACACGGGAGATTCTCTTTCGAGGATAGAGAACAATGGAAGAGAGACATGACCAGTGAGCAAGTAGAGAACTGTGACTGTCCTCGGGTATTGCACTATACATTGGCACCTTAGGGTAAGTGTTCATCTCCTTTAGCTGGTACCGGCTTAGATCCTTCATTTACCTGCAAAATAGTTGCAAAAATTCAAGCATCAATGAGATCGTTAGTCTCGACACGTCCTGTGCAAAGGACTTATCGCTGATTTCCTAGGAACTGCACGAGGTTGTTATTCATTGCCAACCATTATTCGCATGCTGCCATAATGAAGCCGAAGTACTCTGTCTTGGAGCCTCCTGTCAGGTCCTTAATCTCCTGGGTAAAATGTCTATGTTTATTTGTCTTCTTAATCCTAGCAATCTCCGATGCCTTCTCATCATCCTTGAACTGCAACTTTCCGTCCTTTCTTAAAAATTAAGTCCGGCTTCCAAAGCGATCCATTTTTATCTTTCAGTCTTGGTTCGCCGAATGTTGTCCAACTATGTTTGCCAACATAATCCTGTAGTTTGGACGCGATCTTGTGTCACTTAATTCTTGCGTTTTTAATGAATAGACAGTATTCAGATACATGGGCTAACGTTTCAGGTGGGGCCTCTCACATCCTCGACAATCTTTATGTACGCACGTATGGTCTGCCTCTTGATAAGGCAGTCCTTATGGGTTATAGATCACATCACAATAGATTAATCTTGAATCAGAGATAGTAGGAACTGCAGATGCTGGAGAATCCGAGACAACAAGGTGCAGAGCTGGATGAACACAGCAGGCTAAGCAGCATCATAGGATCA